ACACCTTAGCACCCCAAATCTCCTTGACAATTCTTCATGATACTTTGGTTTGTTGGTGGGCGGTTGTCGAGTTGGTCCTTGGCCCATGGTGACTCTCAGGGCAATGGGACAAAACTGCCTGACCAGTTCTGTACCACCTCCATGATCGAATATGGATTGGGCCATTTGTATCTGGGAGGACCCTTATCATAACTTGTACCTATACATTTATTGGTGAGTTCCACCCTCTAGCAGATGCCATAATTTTCAGGATGTATTCAGTTTTTATTATTTCATTTTTCATTTTGTGATAGCATGTCAGAGAATGTTCTCCTATAGATTAAGATTTTACCATAGGGCTTAGAAAAATGAGTAACATTTTCTGTAATTGAGGCATCATTCTTTAGTTTTATTCATTAGTCTTAGAAAAACTGACAGTATGATTCATTGTCACAGATTATTCTCAGTGTTTTGATCAAAGTAAGTAGTAAGGGAAAATTGTATTTTTCATTGGTCATCTCATTGTTCTCATTATTGCAAAGATCGAAAAAAGAAAGAAAAATGAAATGTGTGGCTAAGTGCCTCAATGAACACCTGCCTCCTTTGCCAAGAGACCAGAAGAAGCAGCTGGTTTCTGGCTACATAGTCTGGACACAAAGTGGGAAATGGAGAACAGATTCTCATGTACTCCATACTCTCAGAGCCATGGAGGCTGGAAAAAGCCCTGAAACCATTGCTTTGAGATAATGCTTACACCTGAAATCAAAATATTCCCTGAAATCTTATTAAAACCAATCAGTATAGCTTACCTAATAAAGAATATCTGCCTCGAACATTATGCTGTTTGTGGTAGTTACATAACGGCATGCCAACTTGATATGTAGAAATGTAGGAGTGAAATCTAGCCTGTCAATCAGGTTACAGCCTGATGGTACCTCCTTGGGCGGGTATGGCCTTCTCATAAGGAGGGTCCTGGGAGCTCCGCCACCCTCCACTGCCCCTTTGCCCATATCTTCCTGTCCACAAGCCATGCTCAGACTTGCTCAGGCCCAGTAATGCAGCCACCATCATTGGATCCACACAACTTTGCCTGTGATCACAGCCTGTGATCTTCCTGCATTCTGCATTATTGTGTATAACTGTGTGAATCTGAAGAGAGACTTATGAACTAATATTGAATTTATGGACTTGATTTGGGCTGGGCTGGGATGTTTTATTGATGCACAATTACTTCTTGATATAAAGTTCTTTCCTACACATATGTGCATCACTGGATTTGTTTCTCTAGTCAACCCAGCCTCATACACTCTTGTAGGAACTATGAATATGTATCCAAATGAACAGCAGCAAATCAAAAGATTAGGTAGGAAACTTTGTGGGAAGCAAATTTATGTTAGTACAAGAGGAGCAATTTGGAGAAAGCATGAGAATGTTTGAACAACTCAAATAATACAATCAATGTCACTGAATTGTACATTTGAAAACCAATGGATTTGAATGAAGAGTTATGCTTTAAAATTTTTACATTTAAGAAATAGGTTTATTCAGTGTCTTCCCCATGAAATGCTTAATTAATGAAATCTCATACACAATTCAGTGAGGTCATGGAATAAAAAAGCACGGACTTTCAACCACCTGAAACACAGCAGAACCCAAACTGCTTTCTGCAAGAATACCAACATGGGTAGAGCATGCTGTTGGATTTTTTTTCCTATGAATGGTTACGAATCTTGGGCTGATGCCCAGCTTGGTTTAATTTAACACATACAGTGTTTTGGCTAGCTGGACTATATTTTAAATGTCTTTATGAATTCTGCTTATTTTACAAATCATTGCCACGTAGAAAACATCTAAATGGAAAAGATACAGTTTTATGGTTTCCATGATAATAAAATTGCTAATTCCTCCTGGAGGCTGTTAAGCCCAAGAAGGCTTAATTAATACATGAGAAAAAATTGTGGCAAGTTAGTGGATAGTTCTTAGGAGTAGATTGCCACCATGAACTCATGCAAACATGCCTGTGTACCTAAATGTGATGTGTGTGGGAGGGGGATGAAGCTGACCGGATTTCTGCTTCTTTGTATTCATCTAGCTGTGGAGCTTTTTTCTATATAATAATTCTAAATTACTGCCCTTTATAATCAAAATAATATTCATTTAAAAAGCTTCACTCAACAATGGATTTGCACCCATACTAGATATTCATAACTGGCTTATCTCCATCACCAACAGAACGTACTCATCCCTGGTCACAATTACTGAACATTAATTTCAGCACATATACCTATTCTTATCTTCTTATGAAAGTATGATTAAAATATTTGCCCTTTTGTGATTAATTTCATTCTGCATATGGTCCCCCAGATTCACCCATATTATTATGTATTTTGAGACTTCATCATTATTTTTTTGTAACCAAATAGTATTCCAATGTGTGTATGTACCACATTTTATCCATTCATCGCTTAATGAGAACCTAAGTGTCTCCATTGTTTTGCTATTGTTAGTAATGCTGCCGTGGTAATAGGTGGGCATATGTCTATACCATCACTGCTGTTAGGTCTCTAGATGTCTATCAGGAGTGGGCTTGATGAATCTAAGTCTATTTCTAACTTTTTTGAGGAAGCGCTGTACTGTTATCCATAATGGTTATATTGTTTTACGGTCCCACCAGCAGTGAATAAAGTCTTCGCTCTTTCCACAACCTCACCAAGACTTGTTACTTTTCTCTTTTTTTCCCTCTTCTTTTTTAACCAGTGCCATGTGTGTAGCACGGAGGTGATATCTCATCCTAATGGCTAATCATGAACATCTTTTCCTGTTTGTTCATTGCTTGGATGTTGTTTTTGGTGAAGACTCTCTATGCCTTTTGCCTGTTTTTAGTTGGTATTTTGTCTTCTTGTCATTGAGTTGTGGACATTTTCTGTGCATTTTAGAGATTTAACTCCTATCAGAAAGTTATTCCCAAGTGTGTTTTTTTTCTAGCCATAAGGTTCTCTTGGTATTATTTGACAAAGTATTTTGATGTGTAATGAATTTAATTTTTGGAAGGCCACGTCTACTTTGTTCTCTGTTTTTGTTTTGTACATTTGTAGTTTGTTTGATATTCTACAAACAGTTAGCTCTCACATTGATATTTTTAATGACACTTATACATAAGACCCCTTCAGGATATTGGAAAGGTTTTCAGATGATGACCTGACAGCACGTTAGAGCCTAAATCTTGTTGGGGTATTACATTGCACTCTCTTGCCTTACTTTGTTTTGTTCTTTTTTCTTCTTTTTTTGGCGAGGAGTGGGAGGTCAGGGGAGGCTGGAATTGGTCGTCCCTTTTTCATCTGAGTTCTTTTTGCCTCACTGTAGGGGTAAAAGTTTCTACTTTGAAAAATACTTCAAACAACTCAGGAATGGAAAAGGTGGGAAATAAAATTGGGAGAATTAACATTTTTACGATGCTCAATGTGCTCTTCCAGAACCTAGTATATCTCCCCGGCGTCCCTTAAAACTTACATATATATTTATTATGAACACTGTGAAAACATGCAGAAAAATATCAGGGATGATATAGTAAATACCCACTGTCACCTGCTTTGGCAATTATGAACACATTGCAAGCTTTGTGACAGCTGTGCCTCCCTACTCTCTACCCTTTACCGGTACAATCTACATACATAATATTCATCTACTATGTGAACAAAAATTCCGTGACGGCAAGTCTTTTTTGATGTCACTAATATTCATTCCCTCATTTTTGTCTGTAGTGATTTTTTAAAAAAATTAGGCAGACTTTAAAAATACATGTGTTCTTGGTGGTGGCATTTTGGAATAGTATTCAAATTGCTGTATTTTTTCCCCCCTCTCTTGGATTGTACTGTTCTATTTTGTAACATTGACTATGTTGTTTAACTGCTTTTTTTCTTCTGAGAATTTTTGAACAAGAAAGTTTTGTCATATGCTAATATTTTAGGTGGATTTCCAGTAAATGCTACTGATGGCCTGTATTATTTCCTATGAACCATACCCCTGCCAGCTCTTAAGCCTCCATGAAGCTTATCTCATCAAATACACACACACCACCACCACCACCACCACCACCTGTCATAAACCAAACATACTGCCATTGAGTTGATTCTGGCTCACAGCAACTCTAGTGGGTTTCAGAGGATGTACATCATTAATAGGAGCAGATACCATTGCTTTCGGGTGGCTTGAACTGCAGAACTTATGGCTAAAATTGTCCAGTATTTTCTTGACAGCCCCGACATGGCTTCTTTAGCTCATCACAGTTCCTTCTAATTTCAAGTGATTCCATGCCCCTTCCCAAGTAGCAGTCTTGTCAGGGTGCCCGTTCCATCACCTGCAAGCGATATCCTGAACCACTTCAGCGCTTTCTGCTCTCCGTGTTTGTGCTGTTTTCTAGGACCGTGGGGTATAAAGCGAGGCTACTCGATGACTGCCAGGATGACTACCCAATTTCCCATGTCAGCCCTTCATTTCACCACGTCCTTCTCTATTCCATTTTATATCGACTAATAGATTTAAAATATAAATCTTACTGTAAATCGCATTCCTCTGTAAAGCTGGTCTCTGCCCATTAGTTTTGACGTATCTGAAATTGGGTTGATGAGTTTAATGTCACCCTTGTGAAATTTCTCTCCTTTAGTGGAACATTCAAATACTTTCCACTTCAAGGTCCAAAACTTATTTATAAAGTAACAAAAAATTTTGTTTGAAATCTCAAATTTCAATGTTGTAAGAATAATATGGAAATTGGATAGTTTATGCAGTTCCATAATTCATAAATATCTTATGAAACTTTGATTAATTTTTTTTCTGGAGAATTAATATTTATGCATTAAATCCTAGGGGTAAAATGCATGTTTGTCTGTATGTATCAAATAACTTTGGAAAAGTTTGGTTTGCTCCTTTGCCAAACGAACTTTGAAAAAAGTCAGTCTTCTATCTTGCTCTGTGGACTATTTTCCATATGTGGATATTGATTCACTGTTCTTCTCTTTCAGTTATGCCCCTTGGTGCCCATCCTGCCAGCAGACTGATTCAGAGTGGGAGACATTTGCTAAGAATGGTGAAGTACTTCAGATCAGTGTGGGGAAGGTAGATGTCATTCAAGAACCAGGTAGTGTAAATGTTGAACAATAAATGTCAAAGTGTATACATAATTTTCCATTTTGAAAATTTTCATACATACAGATTTATCTGTGAATTAACCACTTTCAGTCAACAGGTAACAACACGGCATTTCTGGGTCTGTCTAGCACATGTGTAAATATCTACATATGTACTTTTGTTACTTGTAATTCTTTTATTTTTTCTGAACTGTCTGAAAGTAGCATGCAGACATCATTACACTTTACCCTTCAGCAAGCTTGCGTATTATGTTCTGCCTGTTATCTCAAGGAGCTCTTGTGGTGTATTGGTTACAGATTGGTCTGCTATTCACAAGGTCTGCAGTTCAAAACTACCAGCCCTTCTAAGAGAGAAAGACAGGACTTTCTACTCTCATAAACAGTACCAGAAACTCACAGGGGCAGTTCTGTTCTGTCCTATAGGGTTACCATGAATCTGCATCAATTCGATGGCAGTGAGTTTGTTTCCGTTTTGTCTGTCTCTCACTCTGGGGGATACAAGCAGTTTGCCATCCACTCTTAACCAAAAGTTGTCAGTTCTCATCTGCCCAACAGTTCCACAGAAGGAAGGCCTATTTCTTAAAAGATGCTGTGTCTATAAAGATTATAAGCCAGAAAACCCAGCAGAGCAGTTCTACTCTGTCAAAACAACACTTGTCATGAGTCTGAGTCTCCCTGCTGGCAACAGGTTGGGATTTGTGTGTGGAGGGTTATCCCCTATGTGCCTCTTCATAAAACATTCTGAACCACAATCCAATCAAAGTTCACAAATTGCACCTGGTTACTTTTTCTTATAGGCCATTTTCAATTTAGAATAGCACAAACCCGCCCCGCCTTTTTTGTGTGTGATATTGACATTTTTAAGAGAACAGGCTAAAATTTGACTAAATGTTTTCACATGGTGACATTTAATTTATTTTTATTTTTCTATGTTTTTTTTCTAAATTAAAATTTGATCTAGAATATAGATTCCCAAACTTATTTGCCCTACCACCTTCTTTCCAGGGGGAAAAAATAAAGTTTGTCAGCATGCATCCTTTCCCCCCAAAATGAAAAATTTTGCATATATGCAGATAACCCAGAATCCAGGGTAAAGTATAGGTGTCTGCTTTTGCTGCTCTCTTGGATCGTTCCAGCACTTCCAGACTTCCAGGGGGTAGTGGCGTCCACTTAGGTTCTAGCGGCATAGCTAGATTCAGGCTGGACAGTTCTGGCAAGCATGCGTCATAAGCGCTGGACAGTTCTGGCAAGCATGCGTCATAAGCGCTGGACAGTTCTGGCAAGCATGCGTCAT